GCAGAATGGTGGTAGAATGTGCATTTGGACATTTAAAGGGTCGCTGGCGCACTTTACTGACTCCCTCAGACCTCAACCAAACCAATATTCCCTTTGTTATTGCTGCTTGTTGTGTGCTCCACAATCTCTGTGAGAGTAAGGGGGAGACCTTTATGGAGTGGTGGGAGGTTAAGGCAAATCACCTGGCCACTGATAACATGCAGCCAGACACCAGGGCAATTAGAACAGCACACCAGGAAGCGCTGCGCATCAGAGATGCTTTGAAAACCAGTTTCATGATTGGCCAGGCTACGGTGTGAAAGTTCTGTTTGTTTCTCCTTGATGAAAACCCACCCCTTTGATTGAATCATTCCCTGTAAGCAACCCACCCTCCCCCCTTCGATCACAGCTTGCTTTCAAAGGAAATAAACTCATTATCATTTAAAAATCATGTATTCTTTATTAATTGATTATAAACAGGGAAAGAACTGACAAGGTAGCCCGGGTGGGATTTGGGAGGAGGGGAGGAGGGAAGGAAAAGGCCACTTCAAAAGTTCAAAATAATGACAGCCTTTTGCTTGGGCTGTCCACTGGGGTGGAGTGGCAGGGTGCACGGAGCCTCCTATCCCACGTTCTTGGGCGTCTGGGTGAGGAGGCTATGGAATTTGGGGAGGGGGGAGGGCGGTTATACAGAGACTGCAGCAGCACTCTGTGACCCTGCTGCAGTTCCTTAAGCTCCACCAGATGCCGGAGCATGTTCGTTTGATCACGCAGCAGCCCCAGCGTTGCATCCTGCCTCCTCTGATCTTCCTGCCGCCACCTTTCATCTTGAGCATCCCGCCTCTCTTCACGTTCGTCCCTCCTGTCCTCACATTGGTCCCTCCTGTCCTCATGATCATTGGCAGCTTTCCTGTACTTTGATACCATGTCCTTCCACTCATTCAGATGAGCTCTTTCACTGCGGGTCGATTGCATGATCTCTGAGAACATTTTGTCTCGCGTGCGGTTTTTTTGCCGCCTTATCTGAGATAGCCTTCGGGACGGAGGAGAGAGGCTTGAAAAATTTGCAGCTGCGGGAGGGAAAAAAGGGAAAGAAGTATTTTAAAAGATACATTTTACAGAACAATGCTTATACTCTTTCACGGTGAACAACAGTATTCACATTACATAGCACATGTGATTTTGGTACAAGATTGCATTTTGCATCTTAATATTGAGTGCCTGCGGCTTTGGTGTTAGAGATCACAGACGCAGGGCCGGGCAACAGAATTCGGCTTGCATGCGGCCATGGTAAACCATTGTCTTTCGGCTTCTGCAACCTTCATAAAAGCAGTGCCCTCCTTTCCCATACCAAGCAAAGCCTGTTGAGTGCTGCAGTTTTCGTGTTAACGTGCAGCAGCAGAAACCAAACTAACTCCCCTGCCCTGACCCCCCCCACCAGCCTTCCTGGCCTAAACTAACTTCCCCCACTGCACGAGATCCTGTGGGCTGGTAAATAACTCCCCTACCTGCCAGGAGGCACAGTTATGATTCTCCCCCTGTTACTGAGCCACCTGCTCCCTGCGAATCACAACCAGACGGGGGCTGAGAGGCAGAAGTTCGTCTTGGAGTTGAAGGAGCTATGAGGGTTTCTGGAGGGCAGCAGCAGCTCCTGCTGTCCCAGCATGAAAGCTAGACAGAGCCATTGTCAGGAGAGAGACATGGGAGCAAATTGGGACTTCCAGGGGCCTGATCCTGCCTCAGAGGGAGGCTCCTCTTGCTACTGCTGCCAGGCGTGGTGCGCCCTGGGCAGCTTGTGTAACATCAGGGTCTGGTCATGGTGGGCCCGATACCTTTTCCTCACCAGGTTCTGGGGCCAAGCTAGGGCAATAAGTATGGCCTGGCCTTGTCCTCTCTGATCTTGCATAGGACTCTGTGTATCACTGGGACCGGTGGAAAAGCGTACATGAGTGTCTTGTTCCATGGAATGAGGAACCCATCCCCTAGGGACGCGGTCCCAAGTCCCGCTCTGGAGAAGAATAGATGGCATTTGCAGTTTTGTGTTGTGGCAAACAGGTCTATTGCCGGGGTGTCCCAGTGGGAGAAGAGCTGTCGTAGTATTGTGAGATGCAATTCCCATTTGTGTTCTTGAGAGAAGTGTCTGCTGAGCGTGTCGGCAGTAGTGTTGTCACACCCAGGCAGGTAGGAAGCAGTGATCTCTATGTGATGTTGTATGCACCAATTCCATAGTTGCATGGCTTCAATGCATAGGGAGTATGATCGTGCTCCCCCCGTCAGTTGACGTAGAACATGCACACTATATTGTCTGTCAAGACCCGAATCGATTTGTTCCTTATGATGGGGAGAAAGCGAAGGCAGGCGTATCTGACTACTCTGAGCTCTAGAAGATTTAAGTGCAGATGCGTCTCTGATAGGGACCAGTGGCCCTGTGTCGTGTGATCTCCTACGTGCGCTCCCCAACCTGTCAGGGAAGCGTCCGTCGTGAGCATGAGCACCGGGGAATTTTGATGGAAGGAGACGCCCGTGCATACGTTTTCTGTTTTTGTCCACCATTGTTGTAGGGAGGCCAATACCTTTGCTGGAGGAGTTAGCATCATACAGAAGCTGTCATCTGGGTTTGTAGTTGAAGCTGAGCCAACCCTGAAGGCATCTCATATGTAGCCTGGCATATTTGACCACAAAGGTGGTGGCTGCCATGTGGCCAAGAAGCTGCAGGCATGTTCATGCCTGTATTCTGGGGCGAATGGAGAGCGTGCATTTGAGGTGCATAATGGCGAGGAATCTGGTGTGTGGGAGTGAGGCTCTGGTCAGAATTGAGTCCAGGTGAGCGCCGATGAACTCGATTTGCTGTGTGGGTATCAAGGTGGATTTTTGGAAGTTTATTTGCAGGCCTAGATTGTGCAAGAGGGCAATGGGAAAACGAGTGGCCTTTAATGTCTCGTTGTATGAACTGCCTTTGATAAGGCAGTTGTTTAGGTAGGGGAAAAGTATAATTCTGTGTTTGCAGAGGTGGGCCACCATTCCTGCTAGAGTCTTGGAGAACACACTCGGTGCTGTGGAGAGTCCAAATGGTAGCATTCTGTATTGAAAGTGGTTGTGTGCGAGTGTGAATCGCAGGAACTGTCTGTGTGCTGGGTGAATGGATATGTAAAAACAGGCATCCTGTAGGTCGAGGGCTGTGAACCAGTCCCCTTGTTCCAGCGCGGGTATTATTGTGCCCAATGTGACCATCTTGAATTTCTGTACACGTACAAATTCGTTCAGTCGGGGTAGGTCTAGTATAGGTCGCCATCCTCCGCCTTTCTTCTGGGTCAGAAAATAGTGAGAGTAAAACGCTTTTCCTCGATGTTGCACCTGTACAGGTTCCACTCCACCTAGCTGTAGAAGATGAGTCACTTCTGCTTGAAGCAGGTGCTCGTGAGAGGGGCCCCTGAAGAGAGATGGGGAAAGGTGGACGGGCATGATATGAAAGGGATGGAGTAGCCTGATTGAACTATTTCCAGGACTCAGCGGTCCTGTGTGATCTGTTGCCAGACATGGTGGAAAAACTGGAGGCGGTGGCCAAATGGGCAAATAGGCGGTGGTGCCAAGGGGTGGTCGTGCAGACTCCCGACCAAAGTTTCAAAATTGTTATTTGTTTCCCGATGTGTGGAATGTAGTTGGTTGTGCATAATTTTGTTGGAGCCTGGGAGGTCTGTTGTGGTTCCTCCCAATATCATACGGTCTGGACTGGGGCCAGTGATATTGTTATGCGCGGGGCCTCTGATAAGGTTGATACCGTTGTCTCCTGGGAAGGGACGGGTATATCCCCAGTCTGTGCAGAGGGCCCTAGAGTCTTTCATGGTGTGAAGGACTTCATCGTTTTTTTGGGAAAAAAGTTTATCTTTATCAAAGGGAAGGTCTTCCACTTTGGTCTGCAGATCTTTGGGGATACTAGATGCAGCCAGCCAGGAAGACCTGGGCATCACCACTGCAGTGGCGGTAGTGCGGGCTGCTGTGTCCGCCATGTCTAGGGATGCTTGTAGTGCCGCCCTAGACACCAGGTGACCTTTGACAAGGACTGATTTAAAGTTTGCTCTTCTGTCCTCCGGGATATGGGAGGTAAAATCAAATAGCTTGTTGTAGTTGTCGTAGTCATAGCTTGCGAGGAAGGTGGAGTAATTTGCAATTCTGAATTGCAGAGTGGAGGAGGTATAAAACTTGCAGCCCAGGAGGTCAAGCCGTTTGAGGTCCTTGTCTTGCGGAGTGGGCTGGTATTGTGGCTGTTTTGTTCTGTGCATCGCTGCATCTACCACAAGAGAGTTGGGATGTGGGTGGGAAAATAAGAAATCTACGTCCTTAGCAGGTACATAATATTTACGTTCAGCCTTTTTGCATGTTGGTGGGATGGAGGCAGGGGTCTGCTATAGAGTGTCAGCGGGTTACAGGAGGGCTTCGTTTATGGGTAGTGCGATCTTTGAGGGTGCAGAGGGTTGGAGGATTTTGAGGAGTCTGTGTTGTGTCTCCTGCACTTCCTCTAAAGGAATGTCCTGGCTGAGTGCCACCCTCTTGAAAAGTTCCTGGAACTGCTTAAAATCGTCCACATTCTGTGGCGGTGGTGGCATGAGAGCTTCATCTGCAACTGATGGGGAGTTAGGAGCAGGTGATTCAGAGAAAGGTTTGTAGCTCACATCTTCAAGGGGGGTTCAGGAGCTCTAGATGTAGATGGAGCTGGAGATAGAGGCGCAGAGTGGACTTGCGGCCTGGTGGAGGGACCACGAGGAGGAGTGGCAGCAGGGGCCGACCAAGGGTACCACTGAGGCCAGTGCATAGGGTAGGAAAGGTAGGGCGCCACTCCTGGGGGGACAAAGTAGAGAAACTAAGGCTGGTTCTTGTGAGGTTCCGTGCCTTGAGATAGATATGGCTCCGGTGGGGGAGGAGAGTCAGGCGGGGAAAACTCTGCCTGCTGCTGCATGTCATTCTCACTGACAGTGAGGGCAGCCAGGTCGGGTGGCGAGAGTGGCTGTTCAAAGAGTGAGCACTCGGTTTCTAGGAGAGGAGAGTCAGGCTCTGGGGCCATGGAGTGCTTGATTTAAAAACTGTTGCTGCTCCATAGGCTGCGGTGCCACGGGTCGTGGAGTGTGAGCCGATGTCTGCAGCGATTTTTGCTTAGCCGACAGCCGTTTATATGTGCCCTGTGGAGGTTCTGCGTCTGCTGCGGGGGTCATCGTCAGGCTTGGTTCTGACGTTCTTGTCGGCACTGGGGTGCATCCTCAGTGCTGGCGGGACTGGTGCCGAGGAGAGCTGCCTGCTGTGGGAAGTCGGATCCCTGCTTCTGCGCCCCGTTTGAGCCATGGCTGAGGTGCTGGGGCAGTCAGAGGCGCCGGTTTTTGATGCTGTCAGCATCGGGGGGGAGAGATTTTGGTGGAGACCTTTTATGCTTCTGCAGGTCTGTGTGTGGAGAGGTTGAGGCTTCCTGCCTCTTCGCTTGAGAGGGTGACGCCGCGCTCCTGGTTGGTTCTGACCTAGCAGGGGAGTGTGAGGGAGAAGGTTTATTTGTGCCCGTCTCCGTTGGCAGCTGCAGAGATTTCTCCATAAGGAGCATTTTCAGCAGCAAGTCTCTGTCACGGCAAGCCCTGGTTTTCAGGCTATTACAGTGGACACACTTAGCAGGGACGTGTGTCTCGCCAAGACACTTCACGCACAGTGAGTGTCCGTCAGACCAGGGCATAGGCTCCTTGCAGGAACCACATTTCTTGAATCTTGGGGATCCCGGCATCATGGAGCTATGATTGCCTGGAGGGAGAGTCTCAACGGGAGATGAACATGAGAGAAAAAAAGTTTTTTTTGGTTTTTTTAACTAACAAACTATTCTAAAGGAAGGGAAAGAACTGGGATATTTCTATCTAGCTATTTCTATTTATTTCTACTTATTTCCTTAAGTGACCAGGGAAGAGATGAGCACTGCCCTGAGTTCCATCTTCAGCCAAGGACAGTTGAGAAGGAACTGGGGAGGGGAGTGCGGGACACACGCGCACAGACAGACCCTAATGACGCTGCAAGACAGCAGCTGGGTGTATGCGTCCCGATCAGGCACTGCTACCGAAGAGCTCCGATCAACAGTGCCAGGACGCACCGTCACCTGGAGTGGAGCACTCACTGGGACAGCACTTGAAGAAGAACTTTACATATAATAGCGCCACACATATTTTACTGGGACACTAATGGTGAGCAGATTATGAGTTTTTAAATGATACCTCACAAGACATACTTTGTACAAAATGTTTCATGGTCTTGTAAAAGTGGTGAACATGGGGTACAGTCTGTCACAATTAGAGAAAAAATCCTGTAAAATATAGAAGTCAAATCCCAATGAAGAAAATAGAAAGAAGCACAAAGTCTGGAAGGTTAAGTGTAAAAGTATAACAAGGCAGGCCAAGAATGAATTTGAGAAGCAACTTGCTAAAGATGCAAAAACTAACAGTACATTTTTAAAGCAGGAAACCACTAGTCCCCCTCCCTCCCCCAGAATCCCTTGGCTTCACCCCATTAGATCCCAGATGGCCGGTGTCACAGATCCCTGGAATCCCCAATTTGCCTCCACAGACTCCCAGAGCTGCTGGAAAGGCAGCTCTGAGAGCCAAAGGGGGGTCTGATCCCACCCTCTGAGCCAGGGGGAACCTGATGCTCAGAGGGAGGGTGAGCAACTCTCAGATGAGTTGGGGGAGGTCAGTACTTAGAGGGGAGATTGGGCTAGGGGAGAAACACTCACATGGGTGGGGGGATGCTGTTACCGCCACCCCTTCTCTGCAGAGCCAGAGGCACCATCACAGCAACCCCTGTCCTGGCACATTCCCAAACGCTAGCCCCACACACTGACACCATGCAGGCTTTGCTGCCTTTGGGCCTCAGCGAGCATGGGACGTCTGCTCAGGAACCCAATATGGCCCCACAGCTCACAGAGACAGGGGCCTGGTTGATGGGAGAGACATGGCAGGCATTGATGCTCTTGGGGTATATACCCATCCCCCTGCCACAGTACCCAGTGGGCCCAGAGTGCAAGGAACTTACATAGACATCTTGAGGTGCCTTGGGGGTATTTCATCTTCCCCAGCCATTTCTTTCATTCCTCTTTCCAGAGCTGGATCCTGAAACCATTCAGAAGAGGCAAGCTGTGAGGCAAAGAACACCCCCACACCAGGACTCAAACTGTCACTTTCCTGCTGAGGAGTCAGATACCTTCTCCATTGGGCCACATGGTCAGATACTTTGACATGGTTGATGATGCTAAAAAAGTATCAGAGGGGTAGCCGTGTTAGTCTGAATCTGTAAAAAGCAACAGAGGGTCCTGTGGCACCTTTGAGACTAACAGAAGTACTGGGAGCATAAGCTTTCGTGGGTAAGAACCTCACTTCTTCAGATGCAAGTAATGGAAATCTCCAGAGGCAGGTATATATCAGTGTGGAGATAACGAGGTTAGTTCAATCAGGGAGGGTGAGGTGCTCTGCTAGCAGTTGAGGTGTGAACACCAAGGGAGGAGAAACTCTTTCTGTAGTTGGATAGCCATTCACAGTCTTTGTTTAATCCTGATCTGATGGTGTCAAATTTGCAGATGAACTGAAGCTCAGC